TCAATCCACTCGTGGCTGTTTCACTTGTGCATTTTTCAGTTATCCTTACTAGTGAGTCTCCCAAGGAATACAATGCATTTGTTTTAATAAACTTCTCAATATACAAGGCACATTTCCACACTATGAATTTTCTCCAAGAAGTGGAAATGTTTAATTCATTTAAAATGTTACAAATGCTGATATCTCAGAAAGAGGTAGTTCAAATGTTGTTGCCAGCTAGTTAGTAGCATTTAACCAGAAAAATAAAAATACATAAACTTTGAATATACTCCTTTGAATTATAAATACACATAGGATATTTTCCTATCAACTTTTTGTTCTTTAAGAAAAGAATATTTCAATGGGATTAACTCTGGATTAACACTGTCCTGGTCTAATATTTCTCCCAAAATTATAAATTGTGCTTAGAAGTTCTTACCTTTTAAGCATAATGCATGTGTATTTACAATTGCTTTATTTAGCTTGAATGCATATTGGTTATGTGCCTACAAGGTCACAGTGAGAAAAAAGATATGTTCAAGAATCAAAACTATAAATTGTTCATTCAATTTGCATATATTTAAATTATTTTTTTCCTCAGTCAAATGTAGATATTTGGGACTCACCAAGTTACTTCTTAATACTTATATAATATTGTATTTCAAAACTAGTTTGCATTCTGCCCTAAAGATAAAAACAGGAAGTTGGCCAAATACACTTGCCAAATTGCATTCCTGGCACAAGAGGGGAATATTTAGAATTCCTAAATAACTCTTTCCTTAATTATAAAATACACATAATTCTATAAAAAGTATGAATGTTATTGGAAGTCTGTTGCTAAGATAAATTTATTCCAAACTGGTATTTGTTATCAAAAATGATTTATGACATGTACTCAGTCCAAATAAATGTAGAGAGCACTACAGGAGGCATTGCGTTGTGAGACTCTACAAAGAGCCTTCTTTCTTTCATTAACTTCCACTTTTCGTTGCCATGGCATCCTGTGACAACCATAAATTTTGGAAATTATCACCATCTGCCCACGCCCCCTTCTAAGGTTACACACAAGCCCACTCAAGCAGCCAAAATAACAAATAAAAACCTGATAGGCAATCTTAAAGTTTTTCTTTTAATTATAGATACCTAAGTATATAATATTAGGGCTGGAAATATATTTCAAAAAGAAAAAAAACAAAACAACATAAAGATAGCCTTTTTTTGTTGTTGTTTTTTTCCTAAGAAAACAGATGCCTCCAGGAAAGATCATCATTTAATTCCAATGTTCAATTGTTGAAAAGAAAACATGATGATTAAGAATAAATTGATAGATTTTTATAAATTTGTCAAAATTAATAAATTTCCTTTTTCACAGGACCAATTTTGGCAACATCAAAGGTAAATTTGCATTGTTTATACATTTCAAATGGTAATACTGGGAGTCCAAAAGTACGGGTCAATCTTCACAGGTAGGTTACAGTTTAAATCTTAGAAAGGATTTGAGATTTTAAGGGCAGGGGATGTTTCTTTTCTTTCCTTGTTTTCTTGAGGCTTAAATGCTTATTTGTTTGTTTCACTAGTTTTAGAAACATATCCAAGCTTCTTAAAGATACTGATCTAACTATAGACTCTTGGAAATAAATTTTTAAAATTCCAAAGCCACAGGTTAAAAACATGGTAGAAACATCATCAAACTAGTTGCTTAATACCAGCAATACTGATATGTAACTTCTTCATCATGTTTAAAAAAATAACTAACACACTTCACATTCCCCATCTTAGGAAGAAAAAAAAAATGTGTGTGTATGTGTGTGTGTGCGTGTGTGTGTTTAAAGTCACAAATATAGAAAAGAAAGTAGCAAGTAAAAAAAAAAAGTCCTGGGAGATAAAATTCTATATATTCATAGTGGATTATGTTCCCTGAACACACTAAATTCTCCTTGGAAGAAAAGCGTTACACTCTTTTAAGAACTGTAAGATTTCTTTAAGACCATTAGATTTCCAGTTAATGTTTCAAGTGAGTAAATAGTCCAAGGGATGGAGGTATTAATCTGTGTTCAACTAAAATCTAAACTTCTCCATCTAGAAAAATTCTATGCAGAAAGAGCAATCACCCAATATATTAAGATAACACCATTCATGGGCAACAGTCAAATTCCTGGCAGGTACAAATCTACGGACAATCTCTGAAAGTTGAAAGTAAGTGAAATATACATGGAATTTAAGAAACAAAACAGATGAACACAGGAGAAAGGAAAAAAGAGAGCGAGAGAGAGAGGGAGGGAGTCAAACCATAAGAGACTCTGAACCATAGAGAACAAACTGAGGGTTGCTGAGGGGGAGGTGGATGGGAGGATGGGCTACAGGCGTCATGGGTATTAACGGGGGCACTTGTGATGGGCACTGGCTGTTATATGTCCGTGTTGACACAAATTCTACTCCTAAAACTAGTATTACACTATATGTAAACTAACTAAAATTTAAATTAAAAACTTGGAACAAATAAAAAAGAAAGTAAGTGAAATGGTAATGAGTAAAGTCATGCTCCCCATGTCTTAAAGTCATTCGCTGGGCTCTATAGAGCACTGAGCTGTTCAAAACCTAATTTTCAATCCATTTTGCTCTCGTGATGAGCCTCTATTTCCTCATCTTTATCTAGAACATAACTCTTTAAAGTCTGTATCAATATAATGCTTAATAAGCTTGAAAGAAATTCTGGTTTCTGGGTTCACAATACATGAGGAAGAACAAAAGTAAACAAACAAAAACATGTCTGAGAACAGGACAGCAATTGAAATACATAAAATTGATCCTATTTCAAAAATGAATGTTCCTGGGGCACCTGGGTGGCTCAGTGGGTTAAAGTCTCTGCCTTCAGCTCAGGTCATGATCCCAGAGTCCTGGGATGGAGCCCCACATCAGGCTCTCTGCTCAGCAGGGAGCCTGCTTCCCCCTCTCTCTCTGCCTGCCTCTCTGCCTACTTGTGATCTCTGCCTGTCAAATAAATAAATAAAATCTTTTAAAACATTTTAAAAATTAAAAAATGAATGTTCCTAATAATGAGTCAAGTTTAAATTATCTTTGGTGTCTCTGTTCACCAAGCCAGGGAAATATGTAATATATTTCAGAAAGGGGTCTATCGAAAATAACTTAATATTTTGATTTTCAGTTTTGGCATACGATCATCAGTTTAGAAATTTTACTTACCCCCAGGTTACTTTTTGGTGTTAACTATGTGAGGTATTGCTATACTTAGACTGTGATAAAATCATCTTATTTCTTCATTACTTTTGTAATGAACTATTTATTGTCTTCCCCTTGAAATATTAAATGTTGGCAGACAATTTGGAACCAGATCTTCCCTATCTTAATATGACTACAATCTAAAATACTTTTCCCCCATAAGATACCCGCAACACAAACTTTTCAAATACAGAATAATGATTATTAAAATGATTTTTTAATCTCCATAACACAGTTCATTGAGAAGTTAATTAAGTCAACAATTCTTTCTTCTGACACACCTGAGTCTTTCAAGCATAAGACATGAACAGTTAAGATTTTAGTTATATCTAGCCTACGTGGTACCAAAAAATCGCCAAATTTTCAGATCAGGAAATTTTATCTAGTTAAATAATACCAGTTAAATTTAACAAGCACTGTCAATTTCTTTTCTGAATCTCAAATTTGGAATTAGAATTTCAGCCAGTAGGATTCAATCACTTGAGGAACATGACTAATTAAACAAATGGAAATGATGATACTCATTCTTAACTGGGTCATGTTCAACTATTGATTTCATTTTTCTATGTCTCAATTTTTCATCTACAAAATTAGCATAAAAATACAACACTCCGTGGCACTTAAAATAATTTGCTGCTAAGTATATATCGTGGTACCTTACTGGAAAAAATTAAATACGTAAAATGAAGAAATAGTTTCAAATTCAACTCAACAGATGTTTGATAAAGGTCCACAAAAGTGAAAGAACCATTCAGATGTTCTCACAAAAATAAGGTGAATTAAAATAGTCATACTTTCAAAGAGCTCTCTACCAAATATGAACTATGAAATCAGGTTATCCATGATAGTATCATAGCATAGAGAAAGAGAAATGTTACAAAATAAAAAGAAAACACTGATATGGGAATTCAGAGAAAAGAGGAAGACTCTCTCCCCATCTTGCCAGCTTATCTTTCTGTATTAGTTTGTGTTAACGGCAATTGTGTTTATATATATATTTCCTCAATAAACTCCTGTGATGATAAGAATGAGTACAAGTAAAATCATGACAATTGTTATTTTAATTTGCTCATTGGTCTGGATGAAACACGGAAAGTGGGCAAACAGGTGTAAATAAATTAAAGCCTCAATGAACACATCAAAGTGGTAGAACCAAATGAGTTGTTTTCATGTCTAGTGCATTATTAAAGTTGTTTATGGTATGGAACTTGTGCAGTCAGGACTATTTTTTCTTTTCTTGAATGTTTTTAAAATTCCGGAAATGAACATCTTTCAGAGGTTTCTAATGGAAATGTATTCAGACTATAGTTTGAAAAAATAGATATTTTATTGACATAGTTAGTCTTGTTTGGATGCGTTTCAACTTATTTCAGAATTCTTATGAATGAAAACATAAATTTAGAACCCAGAGACCTGGATTTGAATAACCACTAACAGTTATAAGCTAATTGACCTTGGGAGAGTCACTTGACTCTCTCCCAGCTTTGACTACTTACCAGGAAAATATGGATAATAATTTGTTGTTTGAAATTGGTGAGAGGATTAAGTAGAATCACTCCTAGTATGGTGCTCAATTTAGCTTCTTTCACTTTATTTTAAATAAAGAAATGATGATAACCACAATGCAATTTTGCAAGAAATTCTCATGAACAACACAATATTAGTGTGCACAAAACACAATTGATGAGCATAAATATCTATGTAAACATACATATACCCATATAAGAACTATGGCATCAGCTGACTTTTAATGTTTTGTCATAAATGGGTAGCATTCTTACCTGTTGGTGGGATTATCCCAGGAGACATGAGGCCAGGGACAGAATGTGGCATGATATGAGAGTTCTCTGGAGAGGTGACACTTTGAGTCCTCTTAGGAGGCCTTCCAGGTCTAGAACTGAAACAAACAAACAAAAAATTTTTACAATTAAGCTGTTGTCTTACACATCATTTCAAAGTTGTTTCAAGTGGTAACATGGACTGTAAATAAATTTGTTTCAAGGACGGTTGCTTTTGCAGTTAGATGTAATAGACTTCCATCACTAATTAGATTACATGCTGAATTCATTTTCCTCATTGAAGATCAGCCACTCTTGATGCATAATTCATAGCCTGCACCTCGTTACCTGCTTCTTCATATTAATATCTATACACAGTTTGAATTGCCTCGTTTGCATATGCTAAAGTTCTGCATGCAGCCTTCAGCACGAAAATTATGCACTAACTTGTAATAATTATTACAGTCAGCCTGCTATTGATTTATGAGACTTTTAAAAACCAAATATGTGTAGTACTTGTAATGAATGATATTTTAAGGTTCTTCAGGAAATTAAAAGGCAATGGCTGCCTAAGGAAATGTTCTGCTTGTTTGATTTAATACTACAGTTAGCTGGGAGGTGGAATGAAAGAGTGATTCAGACCTATAGCACATTTTTCGATGATATGTTTTATTACTTCGCACTGCTAGCCTGATATCTAGATGATAAATGACAATACATATCTAATGTGTGAAAAGGTCTTGCAATTTCTTTATTTTTTGTCATTTAAAAGATAAGTCAAGTTATCATTTAACCCTATTCTATTTAAATGAACAGCCCCACTAGGTTGCTTTACTTTTAATACCCCAAAATAAATTGGAAAGGCTTAGGATTATTTGCAGGACATCGCTGAGAAACTGCCAGTATAACATCTTATATTTGTCTTTAGGATAAATAAAAATACATCTTGTTTGTGTTTTAGTGGTACTTGTCCTTTACATACTTATTGCATGAAATTAACTTTTAAAATTTTAAAAGCACAAGGTGAAAAAGAGGTAAGGGTTTGCTATTTTTGCATGAGAACAATACGAAGAATATAATTTTAGCAATTCTTGAAACAAACACACTTAGCATTATGTTTCTCCTTTCTGTGCCTGTATCATGTATACGCTTTTATGAAATGCTTTTCCATCATATGGCCAGTATGTGCCTCGACATCTCAGAACCACCGGAAAGAGCCTTCCTAAGTTCACATTTCCATCTTAGCCTCAACTGAGATCCTTTGCCTCATCAGAAGAGTCAAAGATCTTGCCTTTATTATTCAGTGTAAGTAATACATGTGATCGTTTAACAAACAATTATTAAGCACTTGCTGTTTTCAAAGCAGTACGCTGTCATTTGAATCACAGTGTCCACTGTGATTAATTTGGGAGAATGGGTTCTTTAGCTTTCAGGAGTTTATACTTATGCCTAAAGGGGACAATCTGGTGCATAAATAACTATGGCATACACCAGAATGTGCTAAGTGTCGTAAGAAAGTTGCAAGCTGAATACTAATTGGACGTTAGGCTGGATGATGATACTTCCATGTTGAGGAACGCAAGATAAAATTTCATGGCAGCAGAAGCATTAGAAGAGAATTCTGCAGGAAGAGTTAGGCAGCTATGAAGAGGAAAAGAATGGAAGGAAAGTGCACCCCAGTGAGAATATGAGATGAATGGAAACATGACAACGTATGAATGTACAGGATTATCTCCAGTGAGCCAAAACAGGTCAAGGAAGATGAGCAACAAAGATGGATAATACCAAATTTACTGCCTGGGTCAGAATCCTGAAGGGCTTTGAACCAAAAGCAAGGAGACTGTGAGTTTGTTTTGCTATTCCATAAGGACATTCTCCCTCATAGTGTAGTAACTGTCTGGCTACTTAATCTTATCTGTTATTATCATTCTTTATCTTCAGCTGTTTGTTTAACTTTGGTTACTTACCTAGGGTTAATCAACAGCCCTCTGATAATCGTCATTCTTCCTGAGTAATCCTGCTACTGACATCCCTGAGATCCTGAGGAATAATGGCTAAATGTGTATCTACAATATAGGTCTTCCTCCTGGGATTCAGACAGATTAATTCCTGTCTACCGGAAATCTCTGCTTAGATGTTCTTTGATAATCTAAGACTCAGCTTGTCCAAATCTGAACTCAGCATCTTCCCCCATTAAAACCTATCTCTCTTTCCCTGGTTCAGCAAAATGGAACCTAACTGACTAAGCCAAAAATCCAGGACTCAGCTGTGTCTCCCCTGCCAACCTTGTACACTCAAATATCATCTCAATGAAGATACCTCTCTGATCCATTCTCCTTTCTCTATCCCTGCTTCTATCTTCCAGGTCAATCCCTCATTTCTTACTTGACCGACTATTCTGAACTCTCCTAAGATCTACCTCCATGCTTACGGAGTCCATATGTAGCTATAAAGCCTAGAGTCCGGAGTCAGGACAACTCTCCATACTGATCTTAGGAGGATTTTTTCTAAAATGCTAATTTGATCATGTTTTCCATTTGCTTAAACATATCAGTAGTTCTCTGTAAGATTTACACTCCTTACCATGGCTGCAAAGGCTTCCAATGCTTAGCCCATGCCTACTTTTCCAATTGCACCATTTTATTCTTACATTCATGTGCCCCTCCCCCACCCCAAGTGCAGAGTGTCACAAGTTGCTTTGGTCTCCCATTTATACCACCTTTATAGATGCTGCTTCCCTTGTCCCCAAGGCCTTTTCTACACAAACTCACCATCATCCCCATTTCACCTGGCTAAACTTGGCTATACTTTAACTATCCTACTTACTAACCACTTCTAGTTAGTATGCTTTATATGCATCATGATAACCCATAGTGAACAATTCTATCATAGCTTTCTCTACACTGATCATAGTAATCTGTGCATTTGTTTTACTCTCCAGCATACATGGCAGAAAGTGTATAAAATATCTCTATGTCCTAAAAACTTAACTCAGTGCCTGGATTACTACATATATTTATTTTCTTTCTGTTTTCCTTTTTTTTTTTTTTCCACTGTATGTCTTTAAATAAGTTTTAATCCAATTTAGGAAGTCCTTTCCCCAAAATTCGTCAAGTATTCTACCTCATCCATTCCAGTGGTCTCAAAGTATGGCCTGACAAAAGTTGGGAATTTTAAGTCTCAGTATAATCCTAAATTACATCAGAGGTCCAGGGAAAAGGAGATACTGAGAGATCTCAAGCAAGATGCTTTGGAGAAAATGGGAAAGAAAAAGGAAACTAACATTTTAAAGTTTTGTTTTAGCCCTTTAATTTGTTTTGCTTTTAAAGAAAGTGAAACTGTTGAAGAGTACTTTATTATTCAGGCCACAGGAGCTGTCCTCACTGCCCTCACTCTGGAAGTGGAAGTCAGGCCACTAAGTAGGAACACTTTAGCTCATGCTGTGATTAGAATAGACCCAGTGGGCTCCTTTCACCCCAGATATCTCCTACCCAATCTATCACGGGGCCTCCAATTTCACCAGTAGAGATATACTGCTTTCAGTCTTGAAGCCTTAGATCTTTTAAAGCCTTCCATTAAAATGCAAATACCCCTGGTGGTGGTTACACCCTAAAGCCATCAATGAACACCCTACTGAGGATTACTTTACAATTAGAAGGGAGCACATTTTTGAGATACCTACTCTAAGAATGGAGGGGACTGGAAGAAAAGATTTGGAAGGATGGTCAAGTCACTTACCCTTAAATAAGAATTTTCAAGAATAAGACCACTAGAACCTCTCCTTCGAGTTATACGTGACTTCCTGGCAGAGGGAAAGTTACAGGGTTTATTTATTAACAAGACCTTCCTTCATCAACAGTTGGGTTAGGTCCTCTTATTGGTGGGTTTGGTAAGCAGTCTTAGTCACTAACTGCCAGAGGGTTTGTCTCTATGGAAGAGAACTGAATTGTAAAATACTTGAATATTTAAATTACTTTCCACAGAGCTTTAGGCAAATTCTCAGAACCAGTGTGGTACTGTGACCTTCTGGCCACACAGATACAGTCTTGATAACTCTATCTTCAAATCCTGGCTCTACCAATTTACTAGAGAAGTGTGGCTTTGATCAAGCCATAGGTTAGCTGTAACTTCTCTGAAAACATCCGATTAAATTAGGATTTTTTTTTTAAGTGGACCTGTTTACTTTGTAAGAAAGAAGTTACTCTTGGAAAGAAAAATAAACACTTAACTGAAAAGAGGAAATGAAACAATTAGCAAAAGCATTTCCTGTTGGAATGATCAACAGCCTCAGTAGTAGCCACCTTCAAGCCTCCTTATCTGAAACAGTAACCCAGCTCTACCCCAGAGGATTAGAACAGCTGAACTTTCCTAGTTCTAATCAAAGCAGAAGACCTCACTTAAATAAATTATTACCCTTAACAGCTTGAATGAAATCAAATTTATGACTTTGGTAATTGTTTTTGCCAGCTTTACACATGAGCCACAGTGCAGCCTTTAGTATTTTCAACTATCTGCATTATAAGAGGAGAGCAATGGCTTAGAGATGTCCAAATCCACACTTAATATCTCACTTACTTAGGAATCCACCCAGGCATGCTCTCTCCCACAGCTCTTGAATAAAAAAATCTTTCTCTTCCTAACAGATCCCTGGGCAGATGTCTCTCCTTAGTTCACACCATTAAATCAGTCTCATGCTAATTTCTGTCTCTCTCCCACAACTGTATAATGTTTACCAACTCTTCCTGATCCTTTATTGTACTTACTCAGGGTGAAGTCAAAATCCAACTTAACAAAAGAAAACTAAAGTGATATGAATTAATAAGCAGCTAAGTGCATCCAAAGGGTGGAGACATTTAAAATGTTAGAGGGAGGGTATATCACGGAGTCTGCCATTCCCCAGTCTTCTCCATAGACATCTTCTGCTAATCTTTTCAGTAGTTTTTGAGAAATTAAGTTCGATTTCCTTTCTGAGAGTTGGAACAGAGAAACATGTAAAATCCAGAGGGACTGCGATAAGTTATTAATTAGGGAATGCAAAAGTAGCTGCTTAGCAGAAATTTTGGTTCCAAATCCTACCAGCTTAAAGCAGGGTTCCATTCAAACATTCAATTCATTCATC